CCTTAGCCACTTGAGCCACAGGCACTGAGCTGGTCAATATATTTTCTTTTGAAAGTATTACTTTACTGTTTTTATTCAGGAAAATCCTTTGACGCATATTACAGGTTTCAGAAAATATGGGTCTGACTTCAGACAGAATACATAAAACTCATATACAGGCTGGGCACCCATAGCTCAATGGTTAGGGCACCAGCCACATACTCCGGGACCAGTGGGTTCGAACCCAGCCTGGGCCTGCTAAAAACGAAAAAAGAAAATAGCCAGGCATTGTGGCTACAGCAGTCCCAGCTACTAGGGGAGGCAACAGCCTGGCAGTAGTCCCAGCTAGTAGGAGGCTAAGGCAACAGAATTGCTTGAGCCCAAGAGTTTGAGGTTGCTATGAGCTGTGACACCACAGCACTCTACTGAGGGGCACAGAGTGAGACTCTGTCTCAAAAAAACAAAACTCATATACAAATTCATAACATACATTTATGTATACATACATCATATAGATAAAATCTAGGTTATAATGCCAAAATATTACTATTTTAGTGTGATTTGGCCATTACTTTTCTCCGTGACTCTTCTAAAGTAGCAGAAGAGAGTTTTAAGTTTCTCTGGTTTCCTTGATGAACGTCCTTCAAACAACCTGAAAGAAACCAAAACAAAAGAGAGTGGAGATGATTTTAAATGCCTTAGGATTCACAAAATGGCAACTCAATATTGCTACCAAGTAATACAAAAAATGATTTTTCTCCAAGACAATTCTGAAATGATAGAGAACCAGAAAACAACTCTAACTGACTGACTATAGTTGACAAGTCTAGCTGACTGAAACCAACTAGAACCAGGCTTCTTCAAAGCTACTTAAGTCAGTTAGTATTTGCTACCCACTATGTTTTACCATCTTCCTTAAGAGAGAAGGTATCATCTAGTCCTCCAAAGTCAACTGAGGCAGTAAGTTAAGCCATACCTACATTTCCAAGGGCAAATCTCATTTATAATTCATTATATTACTAGGTAGTTAAATAACTGAACAAAAATGGTATCTGATAAAATAATCCATATCTGAGTATTTGTGATGGGCACGATAGGAGAAGAGACACAGGCAGGCATGACAGGATACTGGGGGCTGAGCAGTCCTTGGTAATTAGACAACAGATTCTACTATGGACTGAATGTCTGTTTGTTTTGAGACAGAGTCTCATTATGTCGTTCTCAGTAGAGTGCCCTAGCATCACAGCTCACAGCAACCTCCAACTCCTGGCCAAGGAATTCTCCTACCTCAGCCTCCCAAATAGCTGGGACCACAGGCACCTGCCAAAACACCTGGCTATTTTTTTGTTGCAGTTGTCATTGCTGTTTAGCTGGCCTGGGCCGGGTTCAAACCTGCCAGCCTCAGTGCATGTGGCTGATGCTATAACCACTGTGCTATAGGCACTGAGCCAATGGACTAAATATTTGTGTCTTCTTCAAATTTGGGAAGCCCTAACCTCCAACACAGCTGAAACTGGAGACAGGACCTACAAAGGGCCTATAAGGGTTGGGCCCTAAACTGATAGTACTGGTGACCTTCTAAGAAGAAGATACAAACCCCAGAGCTCACTTGCTCTCTACCATGTGAAGACACAGCAAGAAGGAAGTTGTCTACAAACCAGGAGGAGAGCCCTCATCAGGAACCAGAACAGCAGCACCTTGATCTGTGACTTCTAGCATCTAGTACTGTGAGAAAATAAATGTCTGTCGTTATACCTACCTAGTCTACATGGCATTTTGTCATGGCAGCCTCAGTGGATGGATCTTTTGCATGGAAACCAAAACAGTGCTTACCCTTTGTCATCTAGTTTCCAGCAACCTGGACTTGCATTACTTAATTTAATTTTCTTTGAGATGGAGTGGCATTATTATTGGTAACATACAATTCAATTTGTCCTGAGGAAAGAAAAGCAGGGCTTTGGAAGGATATGACCTGAGCAACTGGTTCACTAAAAGATTTCTAACACAAAAGCGTGCTTTGGGACTGAAGATCTAGCTTTCAAAAGGCATTTAAAAATTACAGAGATTCAGTGGCTACAAATGGTGAGGTATTGTTCATCTGCCTCGAGTCATGTGCTCGGACACTAAAATCAGAAATCCTTCCAGTAAAAGTCCACTTTACTAAGTGCTGAAATGGGTAATATTTCTCATGATTAGAAGAGCAAGCTTATGTAACTACGCAGAGGGGGAAAAGTTAATTCCCTGAGAAAATCTAAGGAACTGAAATAAATTAGAAAAAGGGAAGAAAATGCAATTTTCAAGTGATCTGAAATTTGTACTCAGGGTTAACTTCTGGAAAAAAAAAACAATTTATGTATTTATTTCTTGAAATTTTTAAAAATTTATTTCCCAAAAAGAACAGCAAGGTAGGATAGTATTTTAACCAAATCTAAAATCTAATCTCTTGTCAAAAATAGTTTAAGAGTGTTTGTAATAACGTTTACTCATTTAAGAGAACTTATCTTTGTAAAATATTTAATACACATGCTCTTATAATCCAGCTGGCAGATGAAAGAAAAGCTTTTTTTAAATGCAGGTTTCAGCCTGATTTCTTCTGCAATATGTCAACCAGAATAGACTTTACTTAAATCAAAATGATAGTCAAAATGAAGAAGCTCCTTGGCAGTTTAATTAAGCATACTATATCAATAAATATGATTTACTAAATGAATACCTTGGGCACCTCTGCAAAATCTTTTTCTAGGCTCACTACTCAGTAGAGGGAAGCGATATGAATATAAAAGCAGCAGGCACCACCTTTTTGCAGAGATGAACTGATGTATTACACAATTCAATTAAGGAGAAAAAGTTCCTCTCCAATAGAACTATTGCATAGTGAGGAGAAAGCTGCTGCTGCCCTTAAGAAATAATTCCCTAAAACATTGGGGGAAAAGCATCCTTAGCTTCTACATGTGGTCATCTGCTTATAAAAACACACAAAAGTTCACATATTTCATAGCCACAATGACAAATTATTACCTTTAGGGGCCTCTTGGGACTGCAGATTTATTACCCTTGCAATATGGACTTCTCTAGAAGATTATATGGTTCTTATCACCTGCTACAAATAAGCACCACTGCTAATCTTGCACGTCCAAACCTTAAAACTACAAATAAGCAGAATCTCAATGCAGCACACTATTTGTTGCTTCAAGCCTAATTTCAGATCACTGTGTAACCAAACACGCTTTCCCATCTTCCGGATAAAGCAAAGCAAAGAGGGGAGTGTTGTAGGGGAGGGGGACAGAAGTGGAGATAAAATTAGGGAGATGAAGCAGGCTTAAAACCTTGTGACAATTCTCAGACTTGGTTACTGTGAAATTTTAAAATAGTAGGTATAGTCACCCAAATGAAGTGAATTATCTTGGTATGGAAGCAAGTTAAGAATAACAGAAACACAATGGCAAGGTACATAAATGAAAATCATCACAAGAGTGATGTTCAATCTGAGGAACTATGGGCCGGGGAGAGGACAAAGGAACTAAGGATAGAGCCAAGAAAGGGGCAGGGATATAGAAAGGTGGGGCAGGGAAGATAGGAGAAGCCGAAGAAATGGGGCTGGAGACAGAAGGGGGCATGAGAGAAAGACACTCAGAAAGACACAGAAACAGAGAGTGAGATCGTCTCATAATCATCATCATTCCATTTTTTAAAATTTCCCAACATCTTTCCTTCTTAAATTTTTCAAATCCTGAGTGTTTATATTTAAAGACATATTTTGAGTTCAGCAGTATGCATGTAAATATGCACATAAACCAGTCCATTATAACCCCTCTGCGTGTAGGGAAGACATTCTGTCATTTAATTGAATGATAATTACAGATTAAAGAAAGCAAACAGAAAAAGCCAATCAGGCAACCTCTTTGTTCTAAACAAAACTATTCGTATTTTCAAGGGAAGAAGTCAATCAAGGGTCAGATACTTATTAACTGGTGTTTTTCTTTCCATACTTATAAAGAGAGACATTGTTTAATAAAATCTTTCCCTGAACAGAATATTGATAACATTACTGGAATTCGATTCTAGATACACACACAGCCCCTGTGCCATTTCAAGTAAGGATTAATCCCATTAGTATACCATAAATCAAGCCCAAAGCACTATAACCTCCACTTTAAAATAAAAGCAAGTGATAATCCGGAACTCAGCCAGAAAGTCGTCCCTGGCTCTTCTGTGAAGCACTCTGCCATATGGCCTCAGCAGCATTTTCAATCTGGGGAAAAAGGCAGATGTAAAAGCCTTCTGGGCTGACCAATGCAGAGACCCACAATTTATCTCTGACCATCTAGTTTCCATGTGATCTCAGAAGCATCAATGCTAATCACATTGGAAGTCTTTATATGAATGTTTAGGCCCTGAAAGGCAAGCAGGGGAAAAGGTCAGGGGTATTTAACATAACTAAGCAGGACTGGAAGAACACAGCAATAAATAAAAAAGGGAAGACTTATTCAATTTATTGACATCAGCCTTCCACCACATACTCTTACCATTTTTCTTATTCAACTAGCTAGCCAATGCCATATCTCTTTTGAGATTAAATACACTCACACAAACACACAGCTCCCCATTGCCAGAAACTATAACCATGAATAGACACTACGCAAAAAAGGAAAAGTAACAACAACAAAATGCTACATAATCAGCCTACAAAATGGCTTATCCAATTAAGTACTCCATCATTCAGAAGCAACATGAAAGAGGGGAACTTGCAACTGTTTTCCACTTCTGGAGCACTGCAGAGCATTTGACTCAGGGCAGGCAGCAAGATATACAGAAGAGCACTGAGTTTGTACAGAAGACAGTGTTCAGTTTCAGTTCTGCTGACAGGTCATTTACTCTTCTTGAATCTTATTAGTAGAGAAGATTCCCTGCCTAGAAACTTCCATAGATAAAATCAAAATGAGCTGCCCGGAGACATCAGTGATCTGGTAGTTGTTGTTTCCTCTGTTTGCTGACTTAAGTTTGCTGAAGCACACATCATCTCATAGTGAGAGGTCGTGCAGATGTCCTGGGTACTCAGGATCCCCTATAACAGCTGTGTCGACAACCAAGGGCTGACTTGGCTTAATTCATTCTCAACATTCTGGTATCCAAAAGAACTCTCATCAGCTAGGACGACAAGAATACACCTGGCTTCCAATCTTCAAGAGACTTACTTAAATTCTTATTTGGTGAGAATGCTATTTACTATAGGCTTAAATCCCTCATAGTCACTCTGGACTATAAATGGCTTTAATTCATTTAATATATTAAGAATTAGGTCTAGGGCGGCACCTGTGGCTCAAAGGAGTATGGCGCCGTCCCCATATACCGGAGTTGGTGAGTTCAAACCCAACCCCAGCCAAAAACTGCAAAAAAAAAAAAAAAAGAATTATGTCTAAATATCATTCTAATTTCAACTAGCTATGAGGTAAGAAGTATTAACTCAGCCTCTGGAAGCAGACTATATTCCAAGTTTGAATCCCACGTCTATCAGTAATTAACAGTGTTAACTAGGGAAAGTAATCTCCTCTCTCTAAATCTCTCCTCATCTGAAATATGAGAATAATGATAATACATAATCCATAATGCTGATGTGAAAAGTAAAAAAAAATTCAGATAATGATGAGTAAG